TAACACACAGGCCTCAAATCTTTTTCTTAATTTATAGTTCTATTTATCAGAAAATATGTATGATCTTCCACTCAGAAGTAGAACCATTGAATTCCAGAGATCTTTCTCAGAAAATATGTATAGCATTATTGTCCGATTTCTGCATTTGGTTTGATACTTTCACAATTTTGGGACCTGTTCAATTACATCATAGGTGAACTTACTTCAAATGTATACTATTTGATCTTTCCCCAGATTAATATGCATTGGAGTAAAAATAAAGCTGGGCCTGCTGAGAATATCACCCTCAAAATCAAAGTGACAGAACCCCAAACCTCAGTTGGACTTTTAGTTATTGACAAAAGTGTAAATTTGTTGGGAAAAAGCAATGATATCACAGAGGATGCCGTAAGTTTTTTTTTTCTTTTTCCTTTTGCAAGAGTGCATTGGTTTAGAAGCACTATGTTTTATTGTGACTGGTTTCCTTAAAACATTGAAATAAATTGAAACCATAAAACGGTTAATATTCTGTATTAATGTAAATCTTTCATCTTACTTGCAATAAACTTCATTCTCTGATAATCTGAGTAACTTTATATTCCATATCAAACATATTTGCATTTATTTACTTCATTTTCTGACAAGCATGCACAGTTAAGAAGGAATATATAAGGATACCTAGTTCTCATTTTTGTTAAAGTAGAATATTCATAACAAAAGAAATAATGGAAACTAAAAACGAATGTATTGAGTTCACATGCATTTACAAATCACCAGCTAGCTCTTAATGAGTGATGAAAAAGAAATAAAACGTGTTTAGACATTTCCAAGAGGTATGCTGATGATAAAACTGATGGCCAATTATAGCTTAGTCTTTGGTGGCATTCTTCACTACCCTGGTTCAAAATTTTAATTAGTAAATTACTTCCTTGTACAGCAGCTCAATTACTAGGCTTCCATCAAATAACTCTCTTCAGAGAAAGATCATAATGAATTAATTTTGTTCTGAAGATTTTTTTCATATGCCTTTTGGGTTGGCATATTAAAATATCCTACAATAATTATTCACCATGTCCTATTTTATTTCATCCAGTTGTTCCTGGGGTTGAAAAATGTGTGTGGCCCATTAACAAAGATACTAATACACTTTTGTTATCACCGGTTAAATTTTCCTTGAAATATATAAATATTTTTTTAAAAAAAGTTGGTTAACTATTTTATCTTTGATTTATTTCTACTTTTTTAAAAAACAGATACACCATGAGCTAAGTTTATATGATACAAAACCACATTATGGGGAAACTGGAAGTGCTGTCAGCGTCTTTCAGGTACGGTTGTATACGTAGGTGCTAATTTTCATGTTCTCGATGCATTTGGTTCCTGAAGCAATATGAATGTATCTTTCTCTCTTTCACACATACACACATGCACACATAAAGAGGCCTGGTATTATAGAAACATAGAAAAGAGACCTTGGAGGTCTTCTAGTCCAACCCCTCCAAGCCAGGAGATTTTATTCTATCCCAGACAAATGTCCAATCTTTTTTTTGAAAACCTGCAGTAATGGAGCACCCACCACTTTAGGAGGCAAGCTATTCCATTGATTAATTACTTTCACTGTTAGGAAGTTTTTCCTTCATTCCAGGTAGGATCTCCCTTTAATGACCTTTTACCCGTTGCTTCTTGTCCTGCCCTCAGATGCTTGTGAGAATAAGTTGACCCTTTCCTTTCTGTGATTGCCCCTCAAGTACTGGAAGACAGCAATCACATCACCTCTAATTCCGTGTATATGTGTACAGTTTTTTTTTCTATGTGTGCTCTAAAATACATTTTAAAAAATGACATTTATTTATTTATTAAATTTATATGCTGCCCATGTCATGTCTGAGGCATCTCTGGGCAGCATATACTGATATGTTGCATCTAATTAAACTGAAAAATCATTTATGTACTACATTCAGAACAACAATCTCTGGATATTGACTGATGCCAACCTTTCAGAACATGAGGACTTTGATTGTAAGTAAAGACAAATCAAAAAATGAATCCATCATTTCTTGAGTAGATACCTATCTGACTTTCAAACCTGCACTTCTTTATCTGTCTCAGAATAAAGGCCCTTCCTGTTTAATTACTCCATCATGCTCTTCTATAGGAAAGGAGACCAAAATTTATCTTTTTAAATACCATTTACTCTTTAGTCCATATAGTAGTGGAGATGACAGAATCAAAGACAGATTGAATATTCAGTTAAGGATAACTTTATTCGAAATAAAGTTTGATGTAGTAGTTAAGCCAATTTGATCTAGTGATTAAAGCACCAGGCTAGAAACCTCAAGTTCTAATTCTGCCTCAGACATGAAAGCCAGCTGGGTGAATTTGGGTTAGTCACACTCTCTCAGCCCACCCCACCCCACTGGGCTGTTGTTGTGGGGAAAATAGCAGGAGGGAGGACTATTCTGTATGTTTCCCACTTTCAGTTATTTATAAAGTAATAAAGGTGGGATAAAACAATCCTAATGAAGAGAAAATATAGTCACAAAGTTAGATTAAATTCATTTATTCTTATTTACATATTATGTTGAAAGAGAGGAAAAGAAAGAGTACAATGGATTCCTTATCTACTGTGCAAATCTCTTGTCCATTCTAACCATCAGTGGAGGGTTTTTTTCTTTAGCAGATTAAGGTCTCCAACCATTTTTTTGTAACCTTTCCCTTTTTCTAGCTATACAAACCCCATGAATATTGGATTCATGCAGGTTTCTTCTAAAGCAGCTTTGCTTCCTTACAGAAATAATTGTGCAGTCATATTACTCAAGGTTTTCCTCTATTATTTCCTTAAGATCTTCATTCAGCCCACTGCAGGAAAAACTCTTCTGAACTCTACAGATCTGATCTTAGGACTGTGATTTCAGGTCCCCTCAGAGTGCTCCCCCATCTCTGAATTTCTTCACTCTTCTGGTTTTCTTATAACGGTCTACACCAGGGGTAGTCAACCTTGACTCTTTTATGACTCGTGGACTTCAACTCCCAGAATTCCTGAGCCAGCTAAGCTGGCTCAGGAGTTCTGGAAATTGAAGTCCACGAGTCATAAAAGAGCCAAGGTTGACTACCCCTAGTTTACACTCTCTCAGTGTTTGCTGCTTCTTATGTGCCGTTGCCCTCCAAAGCAAATCTTAACGGGATGAGTGGGTTAGTTCATTGGTTCAAATGTCTTCATTTGGAGCAAATGTTTTTATAGATTTTTAAATGTAAAAACATACAGAAAGGAATCAGACAATGTTTGGGCTGGGAGGAAGATGAGATTGCACTTTCCAAAATATATGAGATAGCCAATTTTGAAAAAACTAGGCATTCTACAATATGACAAGCCTTTTTAAGATTGGAGACTTTGGCCAACAAAGTTGACAAAAGTTATAAAAAATATGAGAAACTCTCAGCTTGGGTGCAAGTTTCAGAAAGTAAGATTTTATACAGTAGATTTTTCCTGGCAAAAGACTAACGTCAGTCTCTCATTTTTCTTGATGTTGAACTGTTGAATCACACAGCAAAATACACATCTTTTCCAGATGCTGTAGATAGATGAGTCTATGTTAATTAGATAGACAGACAGACAAGACAAACTTTTCTTTTAATCTGAGCTTTCAGTTGATTGGTCAAATAGCTTTTCATTTAGCTATTTATTGGTTCTTATCTTGGTTATATTCTTAAGAGACCAGTAATCATCAGTTTATATTTTCTAGTACATATTCTGACCAGCTAATGAAGTAGACACAGTATAGAGAAAGCTGTCTGCATAAAATGTGATAGAGGAAAATAAAAAGAGTGCAAACACTTGCTATAGATAGTTGGTTGGTAGCTTGTGATACTTAGACAAAAAGAAGTTGACAAAGAGACAGATGTAATTTATAACAGAGTGCAGAGTGAGATATTAAACTTAATATCTGAAACCTGTATTCCATTCTATGAGCGAAGGTGTGGCATTGTTTGCATAATTCAGGGGAAATATGCTCTGAAGTGAATCTTCTAGCTCAGGGGTAGGCAAACTTGGCTACCTCATGCTGGCTCAGGAATTCTGGGAGTTGAAGTCCACGAGTCATAAAAGAGCCAAGGTTGTCTACCCCTGCCCTAGCTCTTCCCCTGCTCAGTGTAGCTACAATCTCTCCTTTGTTTGTTTTAAGGCTGCTATTTTATGTGTGTCCATTATGAACACCACTTTTTTTTAACAAGAGGACGCCAGAGAGGATGCTTATGTTTCTTTCTAACCTCCCTTTAAAAATGACGCAGGAGAGGGATTTTTCCCCCCAGCTGTGTTGGCACAGTTTGATCTGATGGCTTTCATGCTCTGTGTTAGTTTTGTGAGTCTTCCTCTTCTGTGGGAGGAATTTTGGCTAAATTAAGTTTTAAATGTTTACCCTCCAACTCTTTGTATTTTTTAAAAATGAATTACTAGGATACTTTTCAGAACAATGTGAGACATGTTGCTGGGTGGGTTGGGGGAACAGAGAAAGGGAAAAATTGGCAAAAATCAAGCCCCTTTCATCAATGGCATCTCATCATACATCTGGGGATGGAAATTATTGTCACAAGAATGATATAATAATATTATAATGATATTAAATTATTATGTCACAAGAATGATATAATAACCCAATTTATGTTGCTCTCTTGCATCCGAAACCCTCACCCTATTCTTTTCCCTTTAGTACCATTTTATTATTTCGATTATGAGCTGGCTATCCTCCCTATATCCCATGAAAATAACCCAGCACTGCATGATGGTGATGTCCATGTGAGGAAGAATTTTCCAGAGACTTGGCTTTGGCAGGAAATAATGACAAGGTATAAACTTGTGTGGAGATAGCTTTCTTTATTTTCCCTTGCAGATAATCATAAATGTTTGTGGGACTTCCAGGGAAGAAATTATGAATTAAGGACAGTTCTGCTAAAGCTGGAATGAAAACCTGGCAAATAAAAAAGTTCTTCATTGTGTAACTTTATAGTAAAAGTTTTTGAAAAACAAAAAGTGATTATGTTGCCCTCTGTTCCCCCCTCACCTACAAAGTGACCTCAGGGCCCATTTTTATGCTTCTTCTCCGATACCCACTTCTATCCTTTTGCCAACTTAAGTGCTCCAGTTGGTTCTGTCTTGGGTGCTTTACTTGGTTGCAGGCTAACCTCAGCAGCTTATTGCTTATTTTGCAGGCTTTTCATTTGAGTTCTGACTTTGTTTTAATATCTGCATTCTAAAGTGTACAAAATAAAATACATTTTATTAAAGAGTTTTAAAATGCAGGTAGTTAAATCTTGATTTAATCATTCGGCAACTGTTTGAAATTATTATAGCACTGATTGAAGGGTGATTACAACCGGTCCTCAGTTCTAGATGTCCCAGCACTCCCCCATGGTCACATGATCACGATTTGAGCACTTGACAACCAGTTTGCACTTATGATTGGTTGCAGCGACAATCATGTGACTGCCATTTGTGACTTTTCCTGAGGGCTTCTCCAGAAAGTCAATAGGGAAACTAGCAGGAAAGGTCACAAACTACTGAGCTAAGTCTGTCCCACCATCCAGCAGTTTCCTTATGAGAAGTAGCCATTTGGAGCCCAGATGGACAGTCTCATCCTTTCCTTGTCTAAAGAGGTTCCATGTGAGAAGGCTTGTTGCAAGTTTGTTGGTCTTAGCCATGTTGTTGTCTCTAGTCCTCTGGAGTTTTAGCTTGCCATTGCCTCGCCCAGAAGTCCCCAAGGAAAATGAAATCTTATATACCCAAGTTTTATTTATTTATTGTTGATATGGGAAGTTATTTTTTTTCTCAAAAATGGACTGTCCTGTTGAAAAACAGCTTATCAAATGGCCATTTCCCCCCAATCACCTATCTCCCTGAACTGGAGTTGAACTAAATTGAAACTGATGGCTTTTTTGTTTCATATTTCCCCAAATGTATATATTTCTTTGGACCAGTGTATTGTGAGAGCCAGTTTGGTGTAGTGGTTAAGGCACCAGGGTAGAAACTAGGAGACCAAGAGTTCTAGTGCCACCTGAGGCAAAAAGCGAGGTGGATGACTTTGGGCCAGTCAGACCAGTCAGTCTCCCTCAGCCCTAAGAAGAAGGCAATGGCAAATCTCTTCCGAAAAACCTTGCCAAGAAAACTGCAGGGATTTTTCCAGATAATTGCAAGGAGTCAAAACTAATTTGACGGCACTCACACACAGTGTATTGTGGTGAACTATAAAATGTGTAAGAAAAAAATAGTGTCTAAACATATAGCAGATGCCTGCTGGAACATATACCCAAAAGAAGATCCTTAGATTACAATATGTTAAATGAATGTTTAGAATTGAGTGTTTCTATGTCTTGTAATGCAGAGGTCCCCAACTTTTTGGGCACCAGGGACCAGTTATGTAGAGAGAGGTTTTTACGCGGACCAGAGGGGGCGTGGTTTTGTGTGCTGCCTGCATCCTGTGGATGGGGTTTGCTTGTTTGTGCAGACTGGTTGCTGGGATGCCGTGGCCTGGTACTGGTCCACAGACCGGGGGGTTGGGGACCCCTGTTGTAATGTTTTCAACTCCCCAAAACATATATATGTGACAGTTACCTTCATGCTGTGAGACATGAATGGATTTTTTTGGTCTACCATGAGCATAGTGCAAATTCCTTACTATTCCTGTAAAAAATTAACTTAATTAAACAAAACAAGATTCCTACACCAGGAAAGTCACTCTAGATTTTCTGTTTCTTTTATTCTGTCTTTTCTCATCTTTAGGTCTACTGAAGCAACAATAAATGTTACTGTTCCTGATACCATTACATCCTGGGTAGCCAGTGCATTTATAATATCTGAAAATCTTGGATTGGGTGTGATTAAAATACCCGTTGAGGTAATAAATCTGCTCATTTGCTGTGAAAATAAGAACTTACAAGCACTTGATGAAGTTCATATTTAGTAGCATAGCTTCTGTTCAGCAGTCCCTTAGTCATTCATTTTCTTAAAAGAATATTTCTACACAATTCATCATCAACATTTTATTTCAGGATAGTTTATTTTAAAGTCATAAAAGCCAAACACAAATGAAACTGAAAATATAGTATTTGTTATTTATGAACACAGCAGCCTTAAAATAAGATAATTTTTAGGTGACATTTTTTAGCATAAGGTACGTAATTAAAAAAGCTGGGACATTTCAAGCATCTTTCCAACAATTCAAAGATTATTTTGCATGTGCCAAGGACCCCGAGGAAGGAATCACGAATGAGAAAGAACATTCTCTAAGTGAAATTTAATCCTATGGAAATAGGAGAGAGATCCATGTATTAGTAGTATCATGTAGCTGGGCACAATGACTCTTCTGTTTTTTATAAAGATTGTGGACTTTGAGCAAAGAATGGAAAGATGCTAGCAGGTTTAATGTAACATTGTTTTCAATGCATTGGTGGATATATTTTGGTGAATTTTTCAAACCCACTTTCATAGGAATTGGTCCCAGAATACTGTAGCTCAGCATGCTCTGTTAATCTCTCCTGAAATAGTAGAGATGGTGAAACTAACTGAGGAGAACACAGCAAATTGCTGAGAAGAGCTTTTGATATGTTGTGTGTAACACGTCTAGAAAAGCAAAACTAGTAAAGCAACTAGAACACTGCAAGAGATGAGCAGACTGTAGAGGGCAGTCCAATATAAGAAAAGGGGTTGGTGAGTCAACCAACAACGCATTTTCAAAGTAAAGTTAACTTTTTGTTGCCTTAAAAATAAAGAAGGCTTCCTGTTCTCCATAAGATCTGGAATATTCTATATTCTTGGCTCCTCTGCCAGGGCTTCTCAGATGACATGGGAATAGTATGGGCTTAGTGCTGTGAGGCCCTCACCTGGATTCTTTTAAGATAAGAATTTTAGTTTAAAAATATGGAATTAATATAATAACATTCAGTATTAAATCTTAGATATTACTAAAGCAAAAAGTTTGTTGAGGTCCAGATCTTGAATTTGCACCTGCACTTACTACACATGTAATAAAAAAATTATTTAGAGGCATCCTCTCATTCAATTTTTGGATTCAGATTTTAAAGTTTATTTCAGGATTAGATACAAAATACAGTTAACATTTATTTAATGTATATTGGTAAATATTGTTTTAATGAGATAGTTTCAGGCTTTATCAAAGGATGTGCTTGGCTACACATGTTTCAGCTGAACACCCTTTTATAGATTCAAAACCAGAATTTCACTTCGGTTTTCTCAGTGACTGATTTCACCACTGCACATTCTTGGCTTACTTAGTTTCTATTCAGAGACTTCCATATGGCTATATCGTGTTACATATTAATGTGCATGAAAAATATTTGTATAGAAACTGAGTGTTTCAAAGGCTTCGTGTGTATAGCGTTCAGTTTTAACTTGGGTGAATTATTAACAGAAATGACTTTTGTGTGGTTTAATTTTGTTTTGCTGTAATCTGGTCCGTCCCATTTATTTTCCTGCTAAGCTTCCTTGCAGATCTTTCTCTCTCAAAATCGGAGAGAGTCTGGTAGCAACTTTTAATCAAACTGCCTTAGCTGATGGATGATTTAAATATGTAAAGATAAGGCAGGAGAAAGAAGGTGTAACGCAGATGAAGACCTACAATGTGAATATAGTATGAATCATAAGTTTTAATCAAGAGTGGCATGTACAGATGGGTTCCCCACTTTGAACTTCATCTCCCTCTACATCATCACTCCTCTGCTAACCACTTGACTACCTGCTTTCTGAATACATAGCCAGTCCAAATGCTAATTGGAAATTTGGAAATATGTGGGAAATCGTTCTTTAATTTCAGCTCATGACTAAGATCTCGTAGATCACATTATTGTTTCATATTTTGACATGAGGAAAAAATGTGCCATATGTTCATCTTGAAGAAGTGGGTTGTAAGCACCATGACCTCACTTAGAGTTACAAGCAAAGCTGAGGAGCTGCTGAAATTTTAAGGAATGCAGCACTCATATTTGCTTTTATTTATTATTTATTTTATTAATTTAATTTATATCCCGCCCTTCTCCTTCCGGACTCCTTCCGGACTTTAGAGGAAAAGTCAGTGCCATCAGCACTGAAGTGAAGTAAGGAAGCTTGTGTATTTTGGACTTCGACTTCTTATGCATCAAACAGATATAGAAAGCACTACTTTTCAGAAAAGAAGTTGAAAAACATGGGAGATATTTTTGTAACATGAAGCACCATCTAATCATAATCATTACCAGCTGTTTCTGCTTCTCTTGATTCTTTCCATTTTTGATGTCTGAAAATTGAGAATTTGAAGCAGGCGTCTCTATCTCTTAACTAATTTATTGGGCATGTATATTTCAAAGCATGCCAAATACATTTAATCTCTGCCTTTTTAGGTGCAATGTAAAGCTAGGAAATATTTTATAATCCTTTTCTCAGAATTTTTTTCAGGGAAAACTCTTCAAAAACGGGGGAAAGTTTTCTCTTTGCTGATCTTCAAATCACTAATTCTTAATTAACAAATAGTACTCCACAATGGTTTAATAATGTATAACTTTTGTTTTTCAGTTAGAAGTCTTCCAGCCTTTTTTTGTTTCCTTAAACCTTCCTCCTAGTGTCATAAGAGGAGAACAATTTATATTGGAAGTAAACATCTTCAATTATTTGAAAAAAAGCACTGAGGTAAATATATTGAAACTTTGTTTTATAGGTTTTTTAAAAAAACAAATCTGCTTTTTTTGCATTCTCTTTGCTATTACCACCCCAGGTTAATTTCAGTCTGATTGATTTTTTTTATATTTATTGTTTAAGTATAAAGTATTGTTATTCCCCTAGATCACGGGTGTCAAACTCGCAATGTTACGTGACGTCTCGTGACATCTCACGACTTTTTTTCCATTGCTGGCAATGGGGTGGGCGCGGTTTCACTATGATGCATTCGGCCTGTGGGCTGGCAGTTTGACACCCCTGCTCTAGATTAAAAGAAAATGCGAACATAGTTATACTTATGCATATATTAGGATTTTGCATCAATCCCAGGATTTAGTTTGAAGGCAGATATGGAAAACAGTTCAGTTTGATTCATAAGCCCCTCAGTTCAAGTACTCCTCCTCATCAGAGGCTTGACTTGATAAGCTGGGAACAGAGATCCAATTGGGTCAGTTTTGTCTCTGCTCTTCTGAAAGAGCTCAACAAAGCACCTCAAAATCCTTCTAAGATACTAAATATGAATACAGAGAGATGTGAACAAAGCAAGTTCCCCTTCCCAAATATTGCAACTTGAGAGTTAAACCAGATAAACCATTCCTATGTAATTATTAGATAGTCATTCAGATCCCTACTCTGCTATTCGTTCTGACATCTTTCTTCTAGGGAGCAATATAATTAAGTTCTATCTTACCTCAAAACGTTGAATTACAACTGAAGCTTTAGTGAGGTTCAAATTGTTTTAGCCACTTCATGCTGCAATGCTGTGGCCAAGCCCAGGTGATTCTGTGCATATCCTTTATATCTATCAGTGTTTTGGTAGGAACATTTTTATATTCTGCCAAGTTTAGGGACTTCCAGATGTAATTCAATGCCTTTTTATGTTTTCAGAAGGAGTTTTCCTGTGATAACTTGCTTTCTTTCTCTTTTTTCAAAATATGCTTTTCACTCATCAGATCATTTCCCCAGCTTCAATACTATAGTTATAGTGTTAATTATTGCTGCTAGTAGAACAAAACATTAACTGACCACTTCTGTTTTGTAGGTGACAGTAACCCTTGATATGAGTGATAGTTTTGAAATTTTTATTATCTCTAATGCTATAAATGCCATTGGAAACCAACATTCTATTTGGATACCAAGTGAAGATGGGAAGACTATCTTCTTTCCGATTATGCCAAAGCAGATTGGAGAAATTCCCATCAGAGTGACAGCAGTATCACCCATTGCTTCTGACGCTATTCTCCAGAGACTATTAGTGAAGGTAATTTAAAGCAGCCATATTTCAAGAATCTTTATCTGAGTCAGATGAGAAGCACCAAATCCTGTTTTGATCATTTTTAAAAGCATCTATGAATCATTCAAACAGAAGTCAGAAAATCTTGCAGTAAAATACTAAAGAAGATGAGGTTGAAGTTCCCTTGAAGCTGAGGGGTGAGGTAGGGTCTTGTTTGAAATAAGGCCTAATAAACCAACTTCATAGTTTTTAGATAAATTTCCTACAGAGTTTATTAAGTAAAGCAAGGTTTCTGATTTGCCAAGTGAGGTGATGGCAGACATATTGAAATCTATATTGCCAGTTCCTGATATAGACCGTGAGTGACAGGACAAAACCACACCTATATATAATAAGATTCAGTTGTGATGAAATCTTTCAAGCTTCTGAAACATGAGCATATGAAAAAATGCTTACTTTTGCAATATTTTCCGTTTGCTTTGTAAGATGTAAAATCTTGAACGTAGTTCTCAGTGCTCCTTCAGAAATTGCTGAATTGTACAGAATGAAAAGGGATGAAATAATTGAGAATATTAAATTACAGGAACTTTAATTTGTGTGTTGGAATATATTCCCCCCTCCCCAATAGTCACTCAAAAACAAAGCTTTTCCTACTGGTTACTGGGTTGACTATGCTTCAAAAAAGGCCTGGACCAATTCATAGACGAATGGGAATCAATGGCTAATATAGGTAGTCCTTGATTTACAACCATTTGTTTAGTGACCATTTGAAGTTACAATGGCATTGAAAAAAGTGACCTACCACCTGTCCTAGGACCCACAACCCTTGTAGCATCCCAATGTACACATGATCAAAATGCAAGTGCTTGGCAATTGTTTATTTATGTAAACAATTATTGTTTACATGTGTAATATTTGTTTATTTTTAATAGGCTGAAGGATTAGAACAAACTTACTCAGAGACAGTTCTTTTGGACTTATCCAAAAGAACTAATCTTACAGAAATTTTGAATTTCAATTTCCCCTCTGATGTAGTTCCTGGCAGTGAAAGAGTGCAAGTTACAGTTACTGGTAAGCATAACTGTATTTCCTCGGAATACAGTTTTAGTTGTATCTAATTGCTGAGCAAATCATCATGTTAGTTATTTACTTATTTATTTAGTGACTAGTGTTATTTTAGAATTGCTATTGTATGTACATATTGTATGGATGGAAAAGAGATGATTCCTGAGATACTTTTATATATCAATTTATGCAACTGGTTTATTTCATTATCTTTTTTTGCTAACATTAACATAGTTATCTTGCTTAAATTAATATGTCATTCTGTATCTGCTGAATATGTGAATATCTTCTTTCTTACTGATATTATTGATTTTGTTTGCAGATTTAAAAAAAAAAGAATTATGATGATGATACTCTAATCTTCCATGGTTGAATGTCAGTACCATAATAGAGAGTTCCTATATTACCCTAGCCTTTCCCAATTGACATGTGAATTTCAATTTCCACGATTCTCAGTAACGGCCATACAACTGGGTACTCTGAAAATTGAAGTCTACACATTAAGAGATTAGTTAGATTGGAATACCTTTATTTAAAATATGTTTTTATGGTAATACCTGCGTTGATTTTGATCCTAAAAACAAGCTAGCTGGTTGAGAGAATTGATTAAAAAGTTTATTATAGAACATTTTAATCCCCCCTTGGTCTTTGTTTACATGTTTACTTGTTGTTAGTATTGCCCCTTCCATCACTGACTTGCAAATTTATCTTTCAGGTGACCAGCTTAGTTCCTCTATCACTGGTTTGGAATCACTAGTCAAGATGCCTTATGGTTGTGGGGAACAAAACATGATTAACTTTGCACCTAATATTTATATTTTGGATTATTTGAGTAAAACGGGCAAGCTCCAAACCCTATTTAAATCAAAAGTCGTGTCATATATGAGAGAAGGTAGGGATATGTTTGGGTAAGGAACATACAATTCAGTGTGCATTTTTTTGAAAGCATTTAGACCAACTGTTCATTCTTGAAGGAGTTTTTGTTTGAGAGAAGCTGTAACACTATCGTAGCATAAAGATTAGAGACTTTAAAAACTTACTCACCTTAGGAAGCTCATTCCATATTGGTTTTTTTTTCATTTCTGTATTGTTATGCAGTTACAGTTCACATGACATGTAGATGTCCCAGGACTACATGGTTGTCTGGCTGGCCCATTTTAAAATTTAGTTAAATTAGTTTAAATTTGGCAGTGTCACACCAGGAGTAACTGTATTTAGACTTACATCCCAGATCAGTCTCCCACAAAGACAGAACAAAAGCTACCGACCACAGAAAGAGTTTTGTTTGCTTTGTTTAACTCCATGGGTTACATTTCGCCTGACACTTGAACTTTGGCTACTCCAAAGTTGCACAGTTAGTTTCAAAAATAATGAACATCTGTTTTTTAAAAACTTCTTTGAAGTCTGCAAGCAGCCTGTCATTTTGCTTGTAGATTGATTTATTTTGCCATATTGTTTTAAAATTCTCCAAACATTAGTTTTATTGAAGCTATTTAAAATGAGTCATAATGGTATGCTAAATTGAAATTTAGTAATTATTGTTTCATTTAAACAATACCTGGAGTTTGGGGTTTAATATTCTTTGAGAACATTCAAATAATTCATGCTCTTTGCATTCTTTTCTAGACAAAACAGAAACTCTTTCACATTAAAAACAAGTATTCATCTTTGCATTGTTGGTTAATAATAGTACTAGTATGGCTTTTATTATTATTGGTACAGTAGCAGTATTTAATTGTTTTCTATTTCTCATGTTAAGGCTGATACTTGTGAATTATGTGTATACAAT